TACGTTTCAAAACATGAGCAAAGTATTGTTATCTACAGTAGTCTATCACAAGTAGGGCTACATGCTTAATTTTAATAAAACAGAGACTGCAATATGAGTGCAATTATCAAATCGTAAAGGCTGCAAATGAAATAAATATATGCACTCCATGTTTCAGAGTGAAATGTGGCTCTGTGTTTTTTTACATGCACATGATTCAGTGTCTCAGAGCGGCTCGGTTCACAGTTAATGCTGCTCATCTCTGAATGTGTTGTCAGTTTGGGTCGCTTATAATGAGCATTTGGGAACACAACATGCACCAACCTTTTTCCCCAATTTGTAATGAGAAGTGCTTATGTCAACAAAATGTTAAAGGCTCCCTATGATTTGATTTGTAATGTTCGAAAATTACTACATTTAATACAGCCAAAAATATTACTATTTTTCTTTTGCAGTTGTACTTTAAAATAAAAATTATAAAATTTTTCTTAAATACTCAATTTTTTTCTATTACAGTGAAATACTACAATAGTATATTTTATTCTGTGGCCAACTGCAAAAAGGTGTTATTTTCATAAAAGGTGTCATTCATAAAAGTCGTGTAGGTATTGAAGAGAGTCGTCGAGAATGTGAAGTTGGCAAAATACTGATTCATTTTGACCTGTGAACATAAAACCAAGTAAGGAAGAAAAATGATTATTGAAAATCAGATATTGAAGGGTTAGTTCACCCAAAAATGAAAATTAGACTGTGTTTTACTCACCCTCGAAGCATCCTATGTGTATATGACTTTCTTCTTTCAGACGAATCCAGTCGGTGTTATATAAAAAATTAGGGGTGCTCCGATTGATCGGCTACCGATCACAATCGGCCGATAATCGCTTTGGGATGATTGATCGGCGGTCTCTAAAAAGGCCGATCTCATAAGGCCGATCTCAAGCTGAGGTCACGTGAGAGGTTTGGCATGACACGCAGTGGCGCCGTATCAGTCTCTGTCCGGCATGGGTGAAATAATTATAATGCTTTAGGTGAGGTACAATTCCTATTTCTTCATTAGATAACTTAGTCATTTGAAAAAGTTTCTGTGAGACATAATTTCACAAACCGCGTGAGTGAATCACCGCGCGCGCTTTCTCTCTCAAAATGCAAATGTCTTCAAATCACATCGCGTCTGCACTGTAAGCGAGCTGCATGCTGCACTGTTGACACAGGAATTGTCACTTGCACTATCGAGGCAGTGTCGCATCGTCACTAAAGTTTATACATTGAATTTTTTTCTTTTTAATTCTTGCCAGTGTTTAAACCATTCAACGCTCGCATGCTCTCCTGGAGACCGTGCACTCATGCACACTCGCAGCGCACACACATAACGCCAGGTTCACATTACTTTGTTTGCAGTGCGTATGTGGTGCGTATTTTTTCTGCACTAATGTTAATGGATTACAGCGTTCACACTGCACACACGGTTGCGGTCTGGCAGTGCGTTTAGGAGCGGCGTCTGCAGCAGTGCAGAGATCGTTTTCGCAGTCTATTTTTGCTGCGCCTCATGCGCTGAATTAAAATAACAGCGCATTGTTTGCTGTAAATATGATCATGCATTGACACAAAAATGTAGTGCATATAATGCATATAATTAAAGTCTACTGTGTTTCACAGTCAACACATAGGCTATGGCTTTTTGGCTAGGTTTAAAGGAAAAGAGCACTGTTAGATAAACAAGGCAATAATAGATGGCACTCGTGGAGGTAGGAAAACATGAACTTTATGAATAGCAGGATTGTTTGTAATAAAGATTTAAATGCAAAAGAAAAGGCAGTAGAGCTGACTGTTTCTGTCAATGGTAAGTTTTAATTTAGAATGTTTGTGATGACGTAAGAAAGTAGTTTAAATGTTTTGCTTTAGCAACTTAATATATAAATCTAGAAGTAAATGCAAAAGTAAAAAGCATAGACTAATTGATGAAAGATTGTATTAATGTACTGTGTAAAAAAAGAATCACAATATTGAAAAAGCCTTAAGTAACAATGTTTGGAATTAAAATCAAAATAATGGATAAATGTTGTTTGTGGTAAACAGCCACAGATCAGGAGAAGACTCTTGTGTGAAAGCACAGTCCGTGCTGCTTCTGTACCACACATATGGACTACATACGCACTGCAAACGGAGTATGTGTGAACCTCACATACAGCTCACAAAATCAGGCTTGAGCAGTGCAAGCAATTGTGCAACAATAACACGATTGTAAAAACACATACAGTGCATGATCAAACATTTAGGTGAGAGAAATATAGATTTTTGAAAAATGCCCCCCTCCACCTCTCAAATGAAAAAAAAATAAATAAAATCCTTTCACAAGAGTCACCTAAGAGAACCGTGCACTCATGCACACTCGCAGCGCACACACATAACGCCAGGTTCACATTACTTTGTTTGCAGTGCGTATGTGGTGCGTATTTTTTCTGCACTAATGTTAATGGATTACAGCGTTCTCACTGCACACACGGTTGCGGTCTGGCAGTGCGTTTAGGAGCGGCGTCTGCAGCAGTGCAGAGATCGTTTTCGCAGTCTATTTTTGCTGCGCCTCATGCGCTGAATTAAAATAACAGCGCATTGTTTGCTGTAAATATGATCATGCATTGACACAAAAATGTAGTGCATATAATGCATATAATTAAAGTCTACTGTGTTTCACAGTCAACACAGGCTATGGCTTTTTGGCTAGGTTTAAAGGAAAAGAGCACTGTTAGATAAACAGGGCAATAAGTTTTAAGTTCTTAATTAAAGTTCTTTATGAACCGCAGGATTGCTTGTAATAAAGATTTAAATGCAAAAGAAAAGGCAGTAGAGCTGACTGTTTCTGTCAATGGTAAGTTTTAATTTAGAATGTTTGTGATAACGTAAGAAAGTAGTTTAAATGTTTTGCTTTAGCAACTTAATATATAAATCTAGAAGTAAATGCAAAAGTAAAAAGCATAGACTAATTGATGAAAGATTGTATTAATGTACTGTGTAAAAAAAGAATCACAATATTGAAAAAGCCTTAAGTAACAATGTTTGGAATTAAAATCAAAATAATGGATAAATGTTGTTTGTGGTAAACAGCCACAGATCAGGAGAAGACTCTTGTGTGAAAGCACAGTCCGTGCTGCTTCTGTACCACACATATGGACTACATACGCACTGCAAACGGAGTATGTGTGAACCTCACATACAGCTCACAAAATCAGGCTTGAGCAGTGCAAGCAATTGTGCAACAATAACACGATTGTAAAAACACATACAGTGCATGATCAAACATTTAGGTGAGAGAAATATAGATTTTTGAAAAATGCCCCCCTCCACCTCTCAAATGAAAAAAAAATAAATAAAATCCTTTCACAAGAGTCACCTAAGAGAAGAATTAATTTTCTAAAATTAAATTCAGGCCCTGAATAAATGTCTAAAAATCTTGATTGGATCATCACTATAAATAGCAGTTGAACAGTCCCACAAGTCGTCAAATAAAGCGCGTGCATTCAAAATAAAACGTGCCTCACACGGCTCCGGGGGGGTGAGTAAAGGCCTCCTGTAGCGAATCCATGTGTTTTTTTGTAAGTAAAACAAACATAAAATAAAAACAGCTTCTGCGTATGACGGATACCGGAAGTGAGAGAAAAGTGTTTATTACGTTTGAAACATGGATATTTTTCTTACAAAAACACATGGATTCGCAACAGGAGGTTTTTGTTCACCCCCGGAGCCTTGTAAGGCATGTTTTATTTTGAATGCGCGCGCTTTATTTGACGACTTGTGGACTGTTCAACTGCAACACCCGCTGACTGCAATGATAGAGCTTGAAAGATCAAAGACCATTTTTAATATAACTCCGACTGGATTTGTCTGAAAGAAGAAAGTCATATACACCTAGGATGCCTCGAGGGTGAGTAAAACACAAGCTAATTTTCATTTTTGGGTGAACTAACCCTTTAAGTTTTGCATTAAAATGATTTGTTTGTTTGCCTTTACTTTTCACTGTCTGAAATGTGTCTTTCAGTGTTACGTCTCTGAAAGTTTTGCTTGTCAAAGTAAACACAATAATAAAAGAAGAGTTGTTAAAAGCATACAGGTCCCTTATCACTTCAATGTCCATGTACTAATTTATAAATAAATGTATAGAAATGTATGTAACAATAGTATTTATATAATTATATTTTATATTAATATACAGTATTCATTTAAGAGTAATATTGTGAAATATTATTACAATGTAAAATCATTTAATATATTAAAAATATTCAAATGAAATGTATTCCTGTGATTGTTCCCATTACTCCAGTCTTCAGTGTCACTTGATCTTTCAGAAATTGTTGTAATATTGTTTTGGTTTTGTGGAAAACAAAAGCAGGCTTTAAATAATAGAAAGTTATTAATTAATTAAATCAATGATCAATTATTTGATAATGAATCTTTTGATATATATATATATATATATATACACATACTTGAGTCACTTTTGATCAATTTAATGCATCCTTGCTGAATAAAAGTATTATTTAAAAAAAAAAAGATTAATCTATACATATATAAATATAAATGATAAAGTAAAAAAAAATCAATCAATTTAGTTAATTTTTTTAAATAATAAATATCTATTTAAAAGTAAGCATTAATGTACCTACCAAGTCTCTGTCGTTGTATGCTTCGTATGTTATTGCTTTGAGATGCCACTCGTCGCTTGATGTTGTTTGCCTATGTTCTGCCAATGCATTTGACTTCTTTGGATCTACTTGGAAAAGTTTGTGCATCCATTAGCAAAAGATGCCACATCTATATTCATTTATTTTCTCTCTCCCCGTGTCGCTTTTCACCTGTAGCTGTGATATGGGCTTTTATAAGCCTTTCATTCTAATGGGAGGAATGGTCTTGTTTGTGTTTGATTTGACCTCTGGTGCCCATTATTGCCACCCAAATGTGCGTTAATTACATTCTGGAGGGGAAGTAGGCACAGTGGTGCTGCTGAGATCAGCTTTGATGTCTGTCATGAGGTGATTAATTAATGATCTGCATTATGATGGCCACCAGATAAAGGATCCTGTCCAGGCATGACTGTGACTCAGCGGACTGATAATCTTCTAATGAGGTCCACTGATAGAAGAGCCTCTGGGTTCTAACACACACTCGGAGGAGACCAAATTCTCTCTGTAGGATTAACTCAGATCCACAAGGTGGAAAGATTTTCACCATTCAGATCAGGTGATCAGATCTTGGATCAGCTTGGGTTTATAATAAGAATGCTCCTTTTTATTGATGTAAAAGGCATCGAGTCAGCTGTTCAATAATATCTGTCTGTACATTGTACACGTATGTGCACCTGATCGCCCTGAAAGAGTTTGTGGTGATGACTGTACATTTAACTTGCTTATTACAAGACTACTTACAAATATAGACACAACTAACAAGTGTTATTTTAGTATTGTTTATATTAAAGATATTTAATATTTTTAATATTAATTAGCTTTCACTTTTATATATTTTTTAGTTGTTATTTTTCATTTATATTTAGCTTTTTTTATTTCAGTTAGTTGCAGTGGCAGCATTTCTAATAGATTTTTTTTTAGGTGTTTTTCATCTAATACTTGTATTTTATTTTATTCAATCTTTATTTCAATTAAATGTATTTGTAGTAGCTTTAGTTAATCATAATGCTGTGTAGGTTATTAGTTGCCTGGGTCAATGGTAAGTTATACAATTTAGCATCATTATACAGAAGAAATAGCAAGTGAAAACTACAGCTGACCATTCAGAATCAATATGCTGCAAAGAACTGAATTTTCAAGTATTGTCCTTGGGATATAAATGCAATACATTGTGTATTCATAGTGTTTTTTTATTTTTTTAATGTGTTTTCTTTCTCAGAAAGAGAAAGATAGATGATGTAGATGGAGGAGTCTCCAAGAAACAGAAGAAAGAAGATGAAAAACTGGAGCTGAAACTGAAGGTATGAGTTGTTTCTGATATCTTTCATATGGCTCGGATTATTATAGATAACTTTTGCCTAGTAACAAATGAATTTGCACCAATATAATGTAGAGATTTTGATGCACGCTTTTACATTTTAGCTGATTCTATTTATTATCTTAACAAGATTATATGGAATTATTGAATTTTTTTATTAAATGTTATGATTTGCATTAAGTTCTTTGTCTATTTCCAGAACAGACCTAATAATTTTATTACATTAGTTGTGCTGTCTGTAGAATTGAGACTATAGTGTTTTCTCACAACATTTTTTTTTCTGTAAATTAGAAAGTATATCAGTCTGAAAATGCTTTTGTCTGGTTCTTGCTGTATTCTAGGAGCAAAGCCAGCTGATCTGGGGAATTAAGGACAAGCTGAAGAAATTCTGCTCCATCAATGACATGAAGGAACTGCTTATTGCCAACAATCAGGAGGTTCCCTCTGGGGAGTCAAATGTAGGTGTGACAAACAGAAAAATTGTACTGATGTGCTGATTTGACCACTGTCCGACTGTCAATTTCAATAGCAGCATCAAACGTCAGATACCAAAGAGAATCTGTGACTACTTTCACTATTGGTCTTAGGGATGTTCATTTCGGTTATTTTTCCCGTTAACCGATTATTAACCGTTTACCGACAAGATTATTTTAAATTAGAAAGGATAAGTGTCTGTGACCCGTTAAAAATACTAACATTTGTTTCCCGGGGATTAATTTTACATGCACAAAAAGCAGCAAACAACAGAACATGAGGATTGACATTCATCACATCACGCATCTGTAGGTCTTCTGCGAGTGGAGAAAAACATAATAAAGCTAGGCCTAATATATATAAATAATAATAATATATAATAATAATAATAAATAGACCTAGATGAGAAATATATTTTTACTTGAATAATAAATTAAGAAAACGAAAGAAAAACTGCTACAAGTAGCCTAGTATGCAGAGTTTCAGTTCATTTTTGTGCTGTGCAAAAGGAAACCAGACGGCAGAATGCGACATCCTATTTTTCTTTAGGCTTATTTTACAAAAGCACAAAGATTTGTTTTTATTGTGAATGTACACAAATAAAAGCAAACCTTTTACAATTCTGATTATCTTTATGACTAAAAGGAGTAGGAGCTTCCACTGTTAGAAGGAAAAAATTCAAGTGATTGCGCGGCATGCACGCACACAGTTAAGCTTTGCTACCTTGACAATGCAATCTGTTAATTATCATAATAAAATACAATCAGTCAAACAGATGGGAAAAAATACACTGCTCAGTTCAAATATGTAGTAAAATCTGTTGTGTTATCACCGTACCGCCGTGATGTTATGCAAAACATTTAGTTTTACCTGGATATTGGAACGCGAGTGAAGTAGGCTACATAATAAATAATAATTTGCCATTCACATACATCGCGAATTCGGAAACATTTGATTTTGTGTCAAATGAGAGACCCAACGTTGGTTTCAGTTTCGTTTTAGCCTAAATGAATTCGTTTTGGCTTGTCGTTTATATTGCTATAGCTTCTTATATTTTAAATTCTTGTTCTTTTCTAAATACTGTTAACTGAAAGGATTTGTTGTGGAGTTAGGGGAACTAAAATAGCCTAGCTATGTTTACAGCGTTAATTATAATGTTTGTAAACATTTCGTGTCGGCAGTAGGCCTATTTCTGAATGAAATAATAAAATGCGACTTAGGTTTTTTTCCCCCTAAAAAATTTTTTTTTTTAATACACGTAGCGTATTTTAACCATGCAGCAAACCTTTTTAAATACTTTTATAAATTACTGGGGGAAAAAATTACTTTTTAAACCGTTTATCTGATTGTGTTAATCGGTCAAAAATTCTTACGGTCGGTTAACGGTTAACCGGTTAAAATGAACATCCCTAAATGGTCTATGACTTTGGGTGTCATTTCTCTAATGAAATGTGACTGTTTAATTGACAGATCATAGACCGGCTTTCAGACTGCATGGCTTTTGGGTCCTTGACGCCTTGTGAGACTTGCAAAGGGCAGCTTGTGTTTAAGAGTGATGCATACTACTGTACTGGAGACATCTCTGCGTGGACCAAGTGTGTATTCAAGACTCAGACGCCTGATCGCAAAGACTGGGTCACTCCTAAGGTAAGTGCTGTAGATCTGTGGTAGTTGGATATTCACATCTGCATGCAGGTGAATTTCAGCACCTAACATGTCTTGCAAATGTTATTCCTCTTTAGGAGTTCAGTGAGATTCCATTCCTGAAGAAGTTTAAGTTTAAACGGCAGGACCGTGTGTTCCCCAAAGATGCCCCTCCTGCAGCCCCCACCCCTTCGTCTGCTGCTGCTACTGTGACCTCAGCTGCCCCGAGTGCATCCACTGCCACCAGTAATAACCTCACTGAGGTGCCTGCAGGTCAGTGATTCTGAGAGAAACCTTGAGAAATACTGGGGTTTATTTAGTGTTTTTTTTTTACTGAACAGCAGATGCACACACAAATAACAGGGCAAGTTCTCCGGCACCGTGCCGGATCTCCATCGTGCAGCGTTTGGCTGCAGAAAGAAAGAAAAAAAGATAGTCGTCTACATTTAAAAAGACTTGTTGATATCACGTTCGAGTTCATGAGTTCGCCTACCAATGTATGAGAGGAGCACAGCTTTCACTCTCAACCAAACTAAACATTACTAGCCAATCAGAAGTTTTTGCTCTTATAAACATGAGACGCGCATAATAGTATCCAACTGCAGAGTCGCAGCTGATGAATGGAAAAGAAGCCTGGTTCTTGAGCGCGACACATTGAAAAAGCTGTGAGGCGCAATGTTCAAAGATTTCCATCTAGCGTCATATTTACATAGAAAAGCTATTTAAAAAGCAGCGGAGCTTTGTTAACAGCTCAGAGTAATCAAGCCATCTCCATAAGAACGATATGATTGCCAGAACGAATTTACCGGGATTTTTGAAAAGGTCCTGTTCACACATGATCTCTTAATGGTAATTTACCAGTAAAGACTATATGTGTGAAAGGGGCTAAACTCTTCCTCTATGTATGCGGTGAGTGTTGCTTAACGTTCAGCTGGGAAAACTCCATTGATTTGTAACGTAAATCATTTAAACCTATGCCAACACAGGAGAGAATACATCAACATATTTCTAAATATGCGATTTATTGTACATCACGATTTCAAAATAAAAGTTTCTGACTTTGCATGTGGCCAAATATTACAATTAAATGGATTTAAACGTTGTTGAATCACATGAAATATCACCAAGCCATTGGCACCCTCTGCAGGTATTTGTTATAATATAGGCATATTATATTATGTATTCAACAATGTTGTTCAATAAAACCATGTACTTGGTTTTGATACTTTATTATGAAATAATAAAATGCGACTTAGGTTTTTTTCCCCCTAAAAAATTTTTTTTTTTAATACACGTAGCGTATTTTAACCATGCAGCAAACCTTTTTAAATACTTTTATAAATTACTGGGGGAAAAAATTACTTTTTAAACCGTTTATCTGATTGTGTTAATCGGTCAAAAATTCTTACGGTTGGTTAACGGTTAACCGGTTAAAATGAACATCCCTAAATGGTCTATGACTTTGGGTGTCATTTCTCTAATGAAATGTGACTGTTTAATTGACAGATCATAGACCGGCTTTCAGACTGCATGGCTTTTGGGTCCTTGACGCCTTGTGAGACTTGCAAAGGGCAGCTTGTGTTTAAGAGTGATGCATACTACTGTACTGGAGACATCTCTGCGTGGACCAAGTGTGTATTCAAGACTCAGACGCCTGATCGCAAAGACTGGGTCACTCCTAAGGTAAGTGCTGTAGATCTGTGGTAGTTGGATATTCACATCTGCATGCAGGTGAATTTCAGCACCTAACATGTCTTGCAAATGTTATTCCTCTTTAGGAGTTCAGTGAGATTCCATTCCTGAAGAAGTTTAAGTTTAAACGGCAGGACCGTGTGTTCCCCAAAGATGCCCCTCCTGCAGCCCCCACCCCTTCGTCTGCTGCTGCTACTGTGACCTCAGCTGCCCCGAGTGCATCCACTGCCACCAGTAATAACCTCACTGAGGTGCCTGCAGGTCAGTGATTCTGAGAGAAACCTTGAGAAATACTGGGGTTTATTTAGTGTTTTTTTTTTACTGAACAGCAGATGCACACACAAATAACAGGGCAAGTTCTCCGGCACCGTGCCGGATCTCCATCGTGCAGCGTTTGGCTGCAGAAAGAAAGAAAAAAGATAGTCGTCTACATTTAAAAAGACTTGTTGATATCACGTTCGAGTTCATGAGTTCGCCTACCAATGTATGAGAGGAGCACAGCTTTCACTCTCAACCAAACTAAACATTACTAGCCAATCAGAAGTTTTTGCTCTTATAAACATGAGACGCGCATAATAGTATCCAACTGCAGAGTCGCAGCTGATGAATGGAAAAGAAGCCTGGTTCTTGAGCGCGACACATTGAAAAAGCTGTGAGGCGCAATGTTCAAAGATTTCCATCTAGCGTCATATTTACATAGAAAAGCTATTTAAAAAGCAGCGGAGCTTTGTTAACAGCTCAGAGTAATCAAGCCATCTCCATAAGAACGATATGATTGCCAGAACGAATTTACCGGGATTTTTGAAAAGGTCCTGTTCACACATGATCTCTTAATGGTAATTTACCAGTAAAGACTATATGTGTGAAAGGGGCTAAACTCTTCCTCTATGTATGCGGTGAGTGTTGCTTTAACGTTCAGCTGGGAAAACTCCATTGATTTGTAACGTAAATCATTTAAACCTATGCCAACACAGGAGAGAATACATCAACATATTTCTAAATATGCGATTTATTGTACATCACGATTTCAAAATAAAAGTTTCTGACTTTGCATGTGGCCAAATATTACAATTAAATGGATTTAAACGTTGTTGAATCACATGAAATATCACCAAGCCATTGGCACCCTCTGCAGGTATTTGTTATAATATAGGCATATTATATTATGTATTCAACAATGTTGTTCAATAAAACCATGTACTTGGTTTTGATACTTTATTTGAGGCCAATTATTATCGCCTCATTGTTACTTTATATATATATATATATAGTCATATTAAAGCCTGTTTTTCCACTTAGTTCTATTTGTATTACTAAAAAAATATCAGATTACTCACTTGTCAAAATAATCAGTAGATTACTTGATTAGCAAAATAATCATAAGTTAAGCACTAGATTAGTTAAAACATTTCAAAATAAAAAGTGCATTGTTTTACTTTTTGTGATTAAAAGACAAATATTTTGTCATTTGAAAATCTCTTAAAGTATTAAAACATTGTCTCGTTCTAGTGTCGCATCCCTAGTGTCTATGAGCGTGATAAAGCTCATAATTTCCCAAGTGTATGATATAGCTTTTCATTCTTTTTTTATTCAAAAATCAGTTTGGATAAGGAAAGCGGTAACTTTGCCATAGTATCCTTTCAAATGGTAAATTTGCCACAGCCATTGCATTCTTTGCATGTGCTGCACTTTATTTGTACCATTTTGTTTTATTAGTTTATTTATTAGAATTTGAAAGATAATAACAACATTGATTGATTAGTGAGATCTGATTTTAGTTCTTAAAAACCAAAAAAGTAGTGCAAGTCCTTGAAAGTCCTGGAATTTTATTTTGCAGTATCTGTACAAACCTGTTTTTATACAGTCTATGGTACGAACCCTGTTTAAGTTAACAGTTCTTGGACCATTTTAATGTTTTTGTTGTTGTTAATTGAACTGAACTGTAGTTTCCGTAGTAAACTGTCTTTGTATATTTCCTATTTTATATTAATTTCCTAGTATTTAATTTACCATTATTTCTTTTGAACAAAACAATTTCAGAAATGTCATGTTTTAGATTGTAGGTCATCTTGTACATGTCAAGGACAAAGCTAACCAGCAAAACATGATATCAAAAGCATCCTAAATAGTGGTCGACCGATATGTTTTTTGACTGCCGATATCGTGGAAAGCAGGGTGGCCGATGGCCGATATAATTGTATTTATTTTAATTAATATTCAAGAAATTTGAAATCCTTTGAAAAAGGATTAAAGAATAAATGTGTAAAATAAACATACTTATACTTTAGATGACAAATAAATAAATATTTAATAAAAATATAATTAAAAAGGAAGTAGCCTAAATACTGTAACCAGCAGGGCAGCAGTATTCTGGGAAGTTTGTGTGCATTGGGAATCATATTTTTTCAAATAAAGTCAAGGTAACACTCATTTTACATACAGCACACAAGTGAAAATTACATGAATATGACAGTGGGCAAATGCATAAAGCACAGCATAATTTGAAATCACGAGTTTACGATCGCTCGTCTTCAGTGAAGCTGAACTCTCCTGTCAGCTTTCAATTCACACGGACCAACCGTAATGCAGAGAACACACAATCATGCAGGATACAAATGCACACGTCACACGATCTCACAGCTGGATTCAACTAAGTTAGCAAGGTTTGTGAAATTAAATGTTCATTATTCATTCAAAGATGATCATTCAAAGATTAAATGATATAAATGCGTATTTGCTGAATGCTGACGGCAAACGAGAAAGTATTATAATGTTTGCCTTTCTATTACTAATAATATAATACTTTGTATACATTTTAATTCCTTTGTTTAACCGTTTTATCTGATTATTAGACAGACTTCTATCCTTATTAGACAGAACTGTTAACGACGATGGCGAACAAGAGGAAGAATGTGAGCACTATGCTCAGCGCCGTCAAAATAAAAGTCCCGCCTCAAACGCATCGGCCAAACAGGAAAACTTATCGGCCGATGCCGATATTTGAAAAATGCCAAATATCAGCCGATATATCGGTCGACCACTAATCCTAATGTTACATGTGTTTGCACCATATTGTAGTGAGTAAACTTTCTTGGCATTGCTGTTTCAAATATCCCACCATAATCTGTAGTCTGAGCCTGTCAAGGGCTAATGGCAATGGCAGATACGTTAGTTCGTTTCTTTTTTTGTTTGTCAAATAACCCTGTGTATGTGTCCGCCCCCCCAACCCCCAGAAAAAAGTTCAGGCTCAGGATTTTTTTTTTTTTGCTTTAACCCCTGAAATAATGATAGCAAGTTAGATGCACACAAAATTGCTGAAATGAAAAAGAATGCCACGTTTATTTTGTTATTTAGTAAAAATTTGTTACAGAAATATTTATAATTGATTGTGTATTTTCTGGTCAAGTTGCAACAGTGTTGTTTTATTATTATTTATATAGTATTATAGTATTCATATTTGGAATTTTGAGCTTTTATTTTTATATTTATACACATTTCATACACACGTTTTAGGAATTGTTTGTGCTTTGTTCATTGTTGTTTTATTTATTTTAGTTTTTCTATTTAGCTTTAATTTTATGTTTTACTAATTTTAATATTTATTTCAGTTAGTTGCTAAAGCTACATTTCTTATTTTTCTTTAAGTTTCTAATATCTAATATTTTCACACATTTTATTTGTGAAAATAAAGCATTAAATAGTGGGAAATAAAAGTTGTTGACACTGGGGAGGCTATAAATACATAAATATAAATAATAAATTACAACATTTTATTTGCATCTTGATGTTTCAGGGCTCCAGACTGCACCTAAAACGATCGCATTTGCGAACAAAAATATTACTTTTAGATCTCAACTGACGACTATATACATTTCCATGTTATGATTTGCCTTATTGCCTTAAAACAAGCCTTATTGTCTTTTTTCCTGATTGTTTTGCGATCACATCTTTTGTTATGTTGACGTAATAAACTGAGACTATGCGCATCAAAGTTTTAGTGGAAAAACAGTCCTCATCTCTGCCAAACAGCAGTGTTGACGTCACACCTGATAAAAGCAGCTCCAGCTGTGGCAGCATGAGAGAGATCGAAAATGGAGACGTGTGAAGTTAAAGTGCAGAAAAGCAGTGTCTATTTCATGCACAACTACAACAGGTAAAGCTGTCAGCTGTGTGGACATTAACAATATCGTTAACAATTCTCATTTATAATCTATACTAATGTGGCTTCTTGTTATCAAGCTCTTTAGTCAGTATACTTTGTTCTGTTAATGCGTGAACTTCCTATTATTTGTAGCGCGCTTGCCATCTAATAACTTAATTGCAATAAGCTTTGTGATCTGTTACCTTTCAATAAACAAAGTATCAGCTTTAAAATTCTGCAAAATTCATAATGAAATTCAAACAATAAATACAGTTTTGGCGCTCTTTAAATAAACACATGAGCGATCGCTTTAACACCTCTGTTCAAGCAGCACATGAACCCATCATATCTTTCTCTTTACTACTATAGTATGAAATAATCATGAATGGACATCAAATGGTATATTAGTCAGCTAGAAAAATACCTATAAAGAGGACCATTTTGCTTAATAAATTAGCTATATTGCATATTCATATTTTTACTTAAACTGTTGTCTATATAAGAAAGGAGCTAAAGATAAAATTCAACACCACCTATATAATTGCCTGTTACTAATGAAGAAAAACAGACTGGATGTGTGCAAAACATATGACAACATTTATAGGATGCATTGAGGAGGAGCCCAAACTAAACTTAATAGCCTAGTGATGCTGAAATAATTATGGGCCGTGATACTGGCACAGATTCTGTGTAATAAACAATTCTATGTGACTGTCTCTAGTTCTCAAGTTGGAAAAGACGTTTAGTTCCCACTTTAAGTGAACCTTAGTTCCCAGGACATCTACAAGATGGATTAAAATGCTAATAAAGACCAGAAAATATGAGACATAAGCACATGACAGTATGAATGAAATGTTAAAGTGTTAAAAATTAATAAATAAATAAATCAAATGCATTTATTCTGTGACACTTTTGGTGCCTAATTTGGTTTCTTATAGGAGCCAATAGCTCCTTATTGATTTTTTTGTCTGGAGCCCTGTTTACATTCAGAATTTCTTGTGTGATGTTCCAAAATTCATATTAAAATACATCGATGGAAACCCAGCTGATCTCAAAATGGCCATATATTAGACAGTTGCTTGGGTCTGTGGCTAGTTTTATTTATTATTCTCTTAAAAACTGATAATTTGGCAAACGAGTTAAGTGGTTACTATGATGTTATGCTCTTTCAATTTTTATGAGTGTAAAGTTTGTTTTTCTCA